TGGGACCGACACAGGGCTGCAGTGTCGCGGGCAAGACCGTCGGCACGTAGGCGCCGTTATTCCAGTAGTATCGCTGGTGGGCGGGCTGGACGGGCAGTGACTGGTTCAACACCGAATCCACGCCCGGGCCGTAGTTCAGCGAACGGACCCAACCCGTCCCGTTGAGCCCCGGCACGATCTCGCCCGACACTCGCATGGGTTCGCTCTTGTACATGGGGGGGAAGTTCAAATGGTTCGTCGACGACGACGGATCGATCGGCGGTTGGGGCCAGCCATCCAACGGAAACCCGGCCGGGGGCGGAACCAGGTGGGCGGTATCGAGCGGGGAGACCAGGATGTGTTTGCTCGCCGGCGGCTGGATGGTGGTGTCGCCCGGGGTGCCATCGTAGCCCGCAGCGATTGTACCATTGGGGGTTTTCCTCCGCAACGCATGCTCGCTGGCGGGCCTCGGGTTGGGCACGGGGCCGGTGGTGTCGGGACCGTCGATGCGATGGATGGGGTGAGGGTATTGGAGACGGGTTCGCGGGATCGAAAGGGCGGGGTACTTGGACAGGGTTTCGTAAGAAAGGGAGGTCGGAAGGTGTGCCGGATGGAAGTCATACGGGCGGTCGATGGTGTCCACACCACGGTAGTGACCCATGTGGTGATGCGGCTGAACTGGCGGAAAGGGCGCCACCGAGTGCATCATCTTGGAGCCCTACCGAGTGACGAACGCACCCGCCGCTCGTTCTCCACCGGACAGGAACAGAGGCAGGTGCAGATAGATTCTGCAGGCGGGAGATCAGGAAAAACAAGGAGGCGTTTCAGGATCGCAGGGAGAAGACTGCGAGCAACGGCGACCAGGTGGAAGAGCAGTCCGATAAGAAATCAACAGACACACACGCAAGCACTCTTGTCGAAGTATCAACGAGCATCCTCGAATTTTAGTTTTTTTCTGTACCTCATCCTGGACGGGAAGCGACTCTGGAGACACTCAGCAAAAGCCCCTACGGCTAATCTCGGGGCTCGACATGAACGCTGGATGGGGGAGTTGAGCAGTGGAGGGAAAGTTTGGGTTGGGTGTGGAAGATCAAGCTAGGGGAGGAGAGCGGGGGTGGGAGGGATGGGGTGGAATCGAGCGAGGAATTGGAGCTGGGGCCAAGATACCATCCAAGAGGGGGGGAAATGGTATCTGGTATGTGCGGGTGGAAATGATGAAGAAGTAAGAAGTAGGGGAAGGAGGGGGAGGAGAAAGGAAGATGCGAGGGAAAGGAATGAATGAAAGAATGAAAGAATGAAAAGCAAGGGAGGAAAGGGATCGAGTTGGTTTTCCACTTTGGACGCAGGTGTCCGCACGACTAAGAGGGATTTGACGCTTGGCGGAAATGTTGTCTTGGGGGGAATTATATTCGAACTTTTTTCATTAAAAATATAAAATAGATATAATATATAATATAATGTGACTACAGACTGGGTTTTTAATTTCTTTTCTTTTCTTTTCCCCTGATCTAGATAATAGAAAGAAGGAAAAGTAGAGTCAAACAGTAGTGATGTCGCGGTTGAGCATGGCACCACCTGTCTGTTCAGAGGTTCCGATGTTGGTCCTTTCCATATTATTGATTTTCTTGATTTATTTTATTTGATATTATATTATTTAAATAAAATGATACATGGACAGTCAAAGCAGATGATTGGAACCCAAGTGAGACGTCCAAGAGAGCGGATGTAGGGCGTTAGTCTAAGGCGGAGCAGATCCAACGGCCGGCGAGACATTGACTATTATTTGATATAATACTATCGACTGGATCGAGGGAAAAGCGAAAAAAAAAAATAGACATAGGCAAAAGAATGTCGATAGAAAAGGTAATAGAAAAGAAGAAATAATAAAAGGAAAGAAAAAGGAAGAGCAAAGAAAGGAAAAGAATCAATAAAATAAAAATAAAATAGTTTCATATAATAAGGAAATCAAACGGAAGGTTGATCAAGACATAATTATAATAATAATTCAAAATAAAATAAATATCTAATATTGAATGAACAGAAAAGAGACGAGAGAACTGCCCAGCTACAATCTAATCTCCTACCTTTTCTCTTCCAAGAACGAGAGAGGAGAATGAATTTTGTGAAAGACTCATCATCAAGAATATTGACTACACAATTCATATCCAGCAAGCGGAAGAGATGAGAAAGAACAAGACAACGGGATATTGACGGAGACAGAAACAGACAAGAGCCCAAGCAACAGGCTGTAGCTCCCGGTTTGAACACAGGTGGGGAGGGGCAGTTCCTATTCTGGATATGGTGGAGATGGTGGATGTGTGTGGATGTGGTGGATTGTGGTGGGGTCGGTGGACTGGACGGGATTCACACCAATCACTCCAGCGCCTAGACGGTGGCTTGGGCTGACCAGTATTATACTGAATATGTATATATATATATATAATATTTATATATATATATATATCTCTCTCTCTTGAGTATAACAGTATATTATGACAATAGGACAGATTTTCACTGGGCCAAAGAGTCACAATTAATCAAGCAAACAGAAGAAAGAAGAAAGAAAAAAGAAAAAAGAAAAAAGAATCAAAAGAGAACGAGAGAAGGATGAAATGAAAGATCACACATAGTCCCACCCATACGATCCAACGGCGAGGATGGACCGACACTAGCCAGTTGGACGACTCCGTCGGTGGACTCTCATTCAACGTCACTGGTCCACCCACGCTGGTTACCCCCGGTCCTCAGTGGGTCTTGAACTCCACCACCCCAGTTGATCATAACTGTGGCCGATCTGGCACTTCGGATTCTGTCTTATGGAGTTAGGTATGGACCCAAAGTACTTGCCAGTGGAGTCATGTTTATCCACATGGTTATCAGAAAGGGCTGGTATTGATGATCTATTGTTTTTCGACGGAGGAGCATCGGGTTGACTGAAGGGACAGGAAGGAAGTGAGCAAGGCTCCACGGTGCCAATCAATGGCCAATGCAAGGATAATCAACGATGAGGGAGGCTCCTCCGAGGACTTACATGGCGCGTCCGAATTGGCAGGTTTCTCAGCCCCTATGCATCCAGAGGCTGAATGCATGAGTATGCCTGTCCAGTCTATATGGTATACATGGACTTTTCTTTCATTCTCTATCGATTCACCTCTTGGAACCCAAGGCATACTACCCCTCCAAGAACTCGCAAAGAAAGAATAGCCATACCATCAACAGAAAGAGAACAAAAGCCAACCCCCATACCAAAACAGCACAGGATAAATAAATATATCAATCATAATAATAATAAAAAATAAAAAAGATCAGCACTCCCAGACAGTCCAACTCAAAATCCATCCCAACAAGTGGATCATCCCCAAACTTTCCTCAGCCCGTCGCTCCATCCTCCATCCACTCACGCCCCGCCGATTAAGCCATGGACTGGAATCCTTTCATGGCGTCTGCTGCTAGCCCTGAGGGAACACGAATTTTCATCCGGTCTTACCATATAATTAAACAGATTTAATTAATTAATTTTATACAATGGGTCCGCTGCCTTTTCAACTCTCAACACTTCAGCCTGGGCTGGAGGTTGTTGTTTGCTTGATCTTTCCTCCTACGATGGTAGATAGACACTTAAGACAGGACAGTTATAGATGGTCGACTGACCTCTCTCTACCGTTGCATTACCAATAAGATAACATTTTGGACGATCAACATGTCACGAGCGGTCTCCAATGAGGATCGGCAAACTCTACCTCGTTCTGATCGGACGGGAAAATAAATCCACGTACATCATCATATCTACTGTCTCAACATTAGGCTGGATATATATTTATACTTCTATATGCCAGGATGGAGAGTATCAAGCGGAATACATCTACTTTCACGGGAATGATAAGGAAGGGAAATAAGAACATGTGAGAACATACTTCATCCATACATAATATACATCTGCCTACATCTATATATATTCATCGTAGCCGCACTGACACCCATGTTAGACATCTCTACCCCTGTCTCATATACTGTCTACACACACGCACCATGACATCTACCTACCTAGAGATTGACCCAACGTGGACAAACAGACAACAGACAACAAACAAGAACCAGCCACCACCACCACCACCACTCCAAAAGAAAGCGAAAAGAAACATCCAAAAGCGGGGTCCTAACAAAAAACACCTTAACCTACCCACCCCCACCTCTTATCCCACCATCTATCTCATCACATCACAGGAACCACCCCTAAGACCTAAATAGTATAAGAAAACAAATAGATATGTACCTAAC